AAATTCTGAGATTCTGTGGCCAAACAGTCAGGAAAATACTGACATAACCTGTGTTGTGTCTCATTTTTTCCACTTCTTGGGACAAGAACATCCACAGATATTAACGCATGGTTTTACATTATATTTTTTAATAAGGAAAAATTATTTCAGAAGGCTAGGTTGACAAAGGACATGGTGAGTTTCCAAAATTAAGTGTGAAAGACAGATCATCTGGGCATGACTGAAAGCCATGCATAACCTTTGTGCTCAGATATTTCATTTCAAAAATGTCACTTTCTGCTTATTCAATGCTACTGTCATTATACTATTTTAAGCTTTAAAATTTGTGTTCTGGAGCTGAACAGGAATTATTGCTTCTATCTTTAGGCTTATTAGAAATAACTTAAAATTCATTCAAGAGCAATAAAAATCACCTTTTTATATTATGGTTGAATTTGGTTTAATGTGGAAATTTGCGAGCAATTTTCATAGTCTTTTATTAGCAGTGCTTCAGCATTTATATATATAGATCAAGACTGTTTTTAAATATTCTCTAAAGAAATGACTTTTTAAACATGATTTTTTCCTTTAATTTTTAATGCCCTAGAGTGAGGTTAAGGTAGAATAAATTGTGTGACAACGTTGTTTAAAATTTCAGACTTTGCCTTATATGGGCAAACTTTTAAAAAGTATTCGTGACAGTTAAAACAAATTTTTATTGCTCCATGAATTATTTACTCAGTTGCAAGGGGTATATGGAATGGGAAGCAGTTATTGCCTGGAAATAAAAGTCTCCTGATACCAAAGGAGTGAATCTGTTTATTCATTCCTATCATCTGTAATTTACTTAACCCTTTATTATCTAAACAAACCTCAATACTTTCATTTCAAATTTGGATCGACACAACGAAAAGGGACCAGGAAACAAAATGTGCTTACATTTTATGAATCTGCCTGCATTAGGCTCTTTTTATTACACAGGGTAACGCAGGGGGATAAGCTTGCCCGTATAATGAAGGATTCTTTGGGCAAGACTGGCTGGGGAATTGCTTCAGCTGGTGGGCAGTAGACGAAGTGGAATAGGGCAGAATGTGCCAAAGCGAACAGCAACCACCAAAAAGCATCCAGAAAATGGGTTGGAATCAGAAGCTTTGAGCCCTGGCACAATTTAGAGATTGTTGCAGACTGAGAAGCGCAACCAGAATTATAGGCTGTAGGTACCTGGGTGGATATCTGGGAGGAATATTTCTGTATTTAGGTGTAATTGTTCTTTGTAACATGACTTCAAGGAAAGGAAGATACAGGGCAGACGCAGGTGAAACTTACATTTTAAAGACTGGGGGAGAGTTGTATTAATTTTTAAAATAACAAAGCTATTTCCCTTATTTCAATGCCAGAAGATGGAATTAAAGTGGGTGCTTATGATTCAACTCTACTGGGTCTTTGTGCCTAACGAACACATGGTTATCCAAGTCATCTTGGGTTTCTATAACAAAATACTACAGACCAGGTGGCTTAAACAGTAGACATTCGTTTCCTCTCACTTCTTGAGGCCAGAGGTCCAAGATCAATGTGCTAGGGTAGTTAGTTGGTTTCTGGTGAAAACTCTCTCCCTGGCTTGTAGATTGCTGCCTTGCCACTATATTCTCACATGAGGGCCCAATCCTCATGACCTCATCCAAATCTAATTATCTCCCAAAGACACCATCTCTAAATGCCGCTATATTGTGTGTTAGTGCCTCAACACATTAATGTGGGAGGGATGCAATTCAGTCCATAGTAAAAGGGAATTTTGATGATCTAAGAGTCACCATAAGAGTCACATATTATATTTTATTCCTCTGGTAAGACAATATCCGTGCTTGGTTTAGCATTGAAGTTGTCCTCATAGCACAAATGGATTGCCTATGTCTCTTCCTCATGAATAGTTGCTCTATCTTAATTCTATGTTGTGTTCTAGAATAAAACCTTTTCTTTCTTCAATCATTTCAGAGATATGAAGTGTTTTGACTTAATTTTTTTCTCTTCCTTTTGGCAAACAGAGTGAGTATCATTTGCTCATATTTTGAGTGTAACCCAAGCAATGGTCTTGTCCATTCCATAGGCCATCTTCTAATCTATGTGGGAAGAGAGGTGTTGATTCCAAGGTAGTTCATGAGGCTACTGCCTCCCTAAGGTGTCAAGTCATTACCAACTCTACCATTGACCCCTCCCCGCCTGGGAATCCTGGAGTATAGTCTTTCCCTTAGTGTAGGTGCTCCCTAGGCTTGGGCTCAGATGTTTGAATTCTGCCTGTCCTGTTATTTCTCTCCATACAACTATCCAAGTCTAGGTGGGAATATCAGACGTTAATGAAGGGTCAAAGAAAACAAAAGTGAATTATAATTTAGAAGGGATAAAAATGATAATCTTATTCTAAATAGGGCAATTCCCATATTATGAATTATCACCTCAAGGACACATTAATTCCTAGCTTTAGGTTAACCCTCCATTCACAGAGCAGCTCGCCAATCAGACCTCTCTCCATGGTTTCCCCTTTAGCCCACACCATTCAACCTCTAGAACCCAATAATCAGTGGCAAATATTTTCCCAGAGTGTGAGTTACTTAACCTAAATAAGACTCTGAGGTGGAAGATGGCAGGAAACAAGCTTCAGAAGAATAGTCTGGATACTCTTGTTCTTCTATGTCTTAACTCAGTGTCCCTCCAGTACTAAGTCAACTTTATTCAATTATGTATAATTTCACCTTATGCATTGGGCTCAGATTTTTATATATAATCTGATGAGTTTTTGAATTCTTGAAAATTAACATACAGAGTAGAATTTAAAACCAGTAAAAATTATGACCAGTAGGAGATACAGAGAGGAGTTACTGGTCCACTTTGAGTCCCTCCTAAAGAATTGTCTAGGTATTTTTCACCCCATTATGGCTCTAGGCTTTTCCTTTTGGGCACTAAAAGACCCTACTGCTATAACCCCCTGGAAAGAATCATCGAGTTTTTCCTGATATGAGTTAAAGGAGAAGCCCAGATATGTTAAGAAACTTCCCTTCAAAAAGATAGTTGATTGTAGTGAGTACAAACAACATTAGGGGCACAGAAGAGTAGAATATTTGTAAGTAGAATGACCCAGAAAAGTGAGAGACATAACCACTTCCAGAATATTTGATGGGCTTCCTTTCTCTGAAGCCATGGTTGATGTGTAGAGCAGCCTACTAACTAATCTTTAAGCACTCGCTTCTCCTTTAGTCAGTTTTAGCAAAGCTCCTGGGTCATAATTTGCTCACTGACAAAAGCAAGGATGATCTCAGGTGTTTCCTGAAATGTGCCTTGAGACCCCTCCCCACTTAAGGCTGCAAATTGTAGGGGAGCCTGTTAGTTTCGCAATAGTTTTACACCTATAAGCTATTCTGTCACCTTACGTTATATGCTACCATTTGCCACCAGTAAGCGCATTCTGCCACACTGCATAATAATAATAATCATTGTAATCATATATCAACACAATGAGATAATGAGATAATAACAAGATGCCAGTATCTTCCCTGCATGCTAAATAATCGACTTCAGTCACAAGCATGTCGCCAGCCTGATTCACCCCACTGTACAGTGTCAGAGCTTATGTTTCCTTACAAGAGCAGACTGGTGAGTGCACCAGTACAAAAAACTGTGGTGAGTTTCCAAAAGTTATTCTTTTTTTAAAAATTTTTTAAACATTTTTTTAATGTTTTATTTATTTCTGAGAGAGAGAGAGAGAGACCGCGTGAGGAGAGGAGGGTCAGAGAGAGAGGGAGACACAGACTCTGAAACAGGCTCAGGCTCTGAGCTAGCCATCAGCACAGAGCCTGATGCGGGGCTCGAACCCACGAACCGTGAGATCATGACCTGAGCCGAAGTTGGACACCCAACCCACTGAGCCACCCAGGCGCCCCTCCAAAAGTTATTCTTGAAGCTTACACAGCATTCTCTGGTTTATTTTCTGGAAAGACGCTCGGGGGGTTTCTGATGTGCCAGTGGAACATAGCTAATAAATTCATTCCAAGACAGCATTTGGGATATCAAAAGAGATCTCATGCACAGAAACAGACAAATACACCATAACCAAGAATACCTGGAGATTTAGAAATTAACTTGTCTAGCCTCCTAAGATTTTCACATCAATTTCCCCTGAAGTATCAGACCCATCTGCATAGAAGTTATTTATCTGAACCAAGGCAGATTAAGCCTAGCAGGCTGGGACATTTTTATCCTAAATGATAGCAAGATGCGATCATGTGCAATAGCCACGACATTAAAAGGGTTCAAATCCCATGGTATTTGCGAGACCATTTGTGCTAAAAAGAAACTTGATTTTTCCGCCCTGAGTTTCTCACTTAATTCTTAGAGGTTTATCTTTATGAAGTTTATGGTTGTTTTTATGGAACATATTTCATCTCAAGGTTTTTATTTAGAAATTCTAAGGCGGAGGGATGAATTGCTCAGGTTAATGCATTTGTCAGTGTCAGATTATTAATATGAGTTTGAAGACAAATATTATTACTGTTCTATCATCAGGGTTTCCTACATATAAAAGTGCTTGACATGTTTTTTTTTTTTTAATTTTAGTCTAAGCCTCAAACTAGAAATGAAGCCAATTACCATGTCCCACCCCAACTTAAAGTTCATGGCAGTAGGGACGTCTGGATGGTTTACTAGGTTATACTTATGATATAGGCTCAGGTCATAATCTCGAGGTCCAGAGCTCGAGCCCTACATGGGGCTCTGGGCTGACAGCTTAGAGCCTGGAGCCTACTTTGGATTCTGTGTCTCCCTCTGTCTCTCTCTCTGCCTTTCTCGGGCTCTCACACTCTTTTGTGTGTGTGTAATTTGTCTCTCCCAAATATAAAGAAACATTACTTTTTTTTTTTTTTTAATTCATAGCAGTCAACCCAAGTACAAGTCATTTTTGAAGGCTTTCCTATTGTACTCATATATTTTATTTTTCTGTTTTTGTTTTTTTCTTTTTCGTTTCTCTTTGGTAGTGTCTGCCAAACCGAGACCCCACAGTGATGAATATTCAAAGAAGATCCCTCCTCCCAAACCCAAACGGAACCCGAACACTCAGCTGAGCACCTCTTTCGATGAAACGTACATCAAGAAGCACGGGCCTCGGAGGACGTCGCTCCCGCGGGACCCCTCCCTGTCCCAGGTCAGCAGCCCCGCGGGGGACCCCGAGGAGGAGGAGCCCGTGTACATCGAGATGGTGGGCAACATCCTCCGAGACTTCAGGAAGGAGGACGATGACCAGAGCGAGGCGGTCTACGAGGAGATGAAATACCCCATCTTCGACGACTTGGGCCAAGACCCCAAATGTGACCTTGACCATCACAGCTGCTCTTCGCAGTGTGCTACTCCCACGGTGCCTGACGCGGACTTCGCCAAGTCCTCAGTGCCATGTACTCCAAAGGGTTTGCTCTGTGACATCCCCCCGCCCTTCCCCAACCTGCTCTCCCACAGACCCCCGCTGCTGGTGTTCCCCCCCGCGCCGGTGCAGTGCTCCCCCAATTCTGACGAGTCTCCGCTCACCCCGCTAGAGGTCACCAAGCTGCCCGTGCTGGAAAACGTGTCTTACATGAAGCAGCAGGCGGGCGCGTCGCCGTCCTCACTGCCCTCCCACGCGTCCGGCCACCCCAAGCTGGACAAAGACCAGGCGGCCGCCCTGGGCCCCGCGCCCGCGGCCTCCGCGCTGTCCTCCTCCCCGCCCCCGCCGTCCACCCTGTACCGGACGCAGTCCCCGCACGGCTACCCGAAGAGCCACTCGGCCTCGCCGTCGCCGGTCAGCATGGGGCGCTCCCTGACCCCGCTCAGCCTCAAGCGGCCCCCGCCCTACGACGCGGTGCACCCGGGCGGCCTGCCCCGGAGCTCCCCAGCGGGGGCCCATTCGAGCGCCAGGCCGGTGTCGCAGGACGGGGCCAAGATGGTCAACGCCGCGGTGAACACCTACGGCCCCGCGCCGGGCGCCTCCCGCTCCAGGACCCCCACCAGCCCCCTGGAGGAGCTGACCAGCCTCTTCACGTCGGGCCGGAGCCTGCTGCGCAAGTCGTCCAGCGGCCGCAGGTCTAAGGACCCCGCAGAGAGTAAGTGTGCAGAGCCCGTGTTCCCATAAACATAAAGCGAAGCCCCGGGGGTGCAGATGAAGCTCCTAGGGCGGGGCCTTCCGTCCTTCCGGCTGAAATTCCAAAGTGGGGGCGCCTGGGGGGTCGGTCATTACTTGGGCTCAGGTCACGACCTCAGGGTTCATCATGAGTTCAGCTCCTCCTGGGGCTCAGGGCTGACAGCTCAGAGCCTGGAGCCTGCTTCGGATTCTGTGTCTCCCTCTCTCTCTGCCCCTCTCCTGCTTGCACTCTGTCTCTCTCTCAGAAATAAACATTAAAAAAAAATTCAAAGCAGCTTATTTAACTCGTGGGGTGTTAAAGGACATAGTGCGTCCTGGATGCACTCCAAGCCACAAGGGGCATAGCGGAAGAGGTGCTATGAAACAGAAGAATGCCGTTTTACACGATGAAGCATAAAATCTAAAGTGTTACAGAGGCTCTGGGAAAGTCTGACAAAGTAAACAGATCACTTTCCTCAGTGTCCGTTTCATGAAATTACACTGCTTTCCCTGGCTTAAAAATGCCTTAGGTACCTAACCTGGTAATTAAGTAATCATTTTCATCTCAGATCACCCCCACACAGGATTTTATTTATCCTCTCCCACAATCACATTGAGTTCAGGAAAAAAAAAATCGATACTTCTGATGATGAAGATGGTGATGGCACTTCTCAGAATAATTAATATTCATAGGTAGTTAGAAGCCACTTATCCTGGTTTTTTTCTGCTTGTTTACCCAGAGGGATTTATGTAAATGTTACTGCTTAAGTAATCCCCTCCCTCCTCAATCATTTCATTTACCTGACTGAAGGGCAAAAATTTCTAATCTATTAGACGTGTCTGAAGTTAAACGCATACAGGCATACATTAAAATATTTTTTAAAATTATTTTTTAATTTTTTTAAGTTTATTCATTTTGAGAGAGAAAGAGAGAGCAAGAGAGCGAGGGAAGGACAGACAGAGAGGAAGAGAGAGAATCCCAAGCAGGCTCAGCGCAGAGCCTGAGGCAGGGTTCAAACTCACAAACCTCAACTTCATGACCTGAGCTAAAGTCAGACTCTCAACCTGACTGAGCCACCCTGACACCCCTAAAATTAATGTTAAATTGATTTAAAAATAAGGAGGAATCTTGGGGCGCCTGGGTGGCTCAGTCAGTTAAGCATCTGACTTCTGCTCAGGTCGTGACCTTGTGGTTTGTTAGTTTGAGCCCCACATCCGGCTCTTTGCTGACAGCTCAGAGCCTGGAGCCTACTTTGGATTCTGTGTCTCCCTCTCTCTCTGTTCCTCCGCTTCTCACATTCTGTCTCTCGCTCTCTCAAAAATAAAGATTGAAAAATTAAAAATAATAATATAAAAATAAGGAGCAATCTATTTCTAAAATAGGGGTTCTTGGGGCACTTGGGTGGCTCAGTCGGTTGAAGATCTAACCCTTGATTTCAGCTCAGGTCATGATTCCAGGGTCATAGAATCTGGTCCTGCATCAGCATCAGCACTGAGCCAGCTTGGAGCCTGCTTAAAATTTTATCCCTCTTCCCCACTCATGCTCTCTCTTTCTCAAATAAAACAAACAAAAAATTAAATAGTGGTTCTCAGTAAGAACAATTTGGCCCCCAGGGCCTGTTGGCAGTATCTGGAGACATTTTCAATTGCCGCAACTGGAAGCACGACAGATACCAAGGTAGAGGCCAGAGATGCCACTTAAAAGCTGATGGAAAGAGATGATCTGGTCTCCAGTGTCAATAGTGGCAAATTTGGTAAACCCTGACAAAAATAATGTATTAAAGTTTAAAGTTTCTTCTAGATGAGTAATTTGGTTTAAGCAAAGATCAGTTAAGATTTTTGGAATGAGTTGGAGAAAAAAATGAAAGAAAAAGGTTTGGCGTTCAAAACATGTACTGGTTAGTGTGAAATTAATGGGCATTTCATCCTAGAATTGGTGAAATTATTGGATTTTCTCCTTACCTACCACTTTCTTTGGAGGATCCTTCACACCTCCATCCGGCAGCTATGTCAATTAGCTAGAAAAAGTATATGTAAAAGAAATGATTAACTAATGAGGTTATTTCAAGAAATATCCATCTGTTAGAATTCGTCTACGTGCTATATGTCGCAGACTTCTCCATTCGAGTCCAAAACAAGCTTTGTGTGCTTGTAAAACAAAGCTTCTACATGGAAAAATGATCCAGTCTCTTTATAGCTTTTTGGGATCTGAAGATTGAATCGCTTCCTGTGTGCTGTTAACCATGTATCAGCTCTTCGGAGAAAGGACATGTCTTGTGTTACATTAACTCCAATATCTTACTTTATGTGAAGGGAAAGGAAGAAAAATGAAGATAGTGCAAGGAGTAATCTAATATTATTTACTTTTCACTGCAGAAGAAAATAGACACTATCAGATGCTAAAATAATCATTGTGGCTCTCAGAATCTCTCTGTAATTCAAAGAGTAGATTCAAAATTGTTGATAATTGAGAATTAACCTATAATCACGGCTGTAGTATATTCAGTGGAGCAACTCTCTCCTTTACTCTTGTCAGAGAGGATTTATAGACACTTACTGACACCATAGGGACAGACTCAATGATATGAAGTAGTAGAACATTCATGGCTCCTAAATCTCAAATAGTTTTTGTTTTTTACATTTAAGGAATAAAGTTAAGGCTGGTAATTCTATTCCTCCATACCCTCTGGCTTTACTGGGAAGTGCCGATTTGGATAATTTTCTAATAATCAATTCAAAGCAAATTTATTATTTCTGTTTTAATTTAAAAATCCATGTCACATAAAATATATGCCTTCAACTCTTATTTTAATAACCTATAAAGATACACCTAACTTATTACTTTCATATCTTAAAAGATTTCAAACTGTTGACAGGGATTGAACAATAGGAAGGGGATAAAATAAGGTGATAGTGGTGGACTATGAACCAATTCCATTTTACTGCATGATTTTCTAAATGTGGCCTTGGTATTAATTGTTCTAGGAAGTTTTTTCCCTTGGTTGATGGGACATTGTAATGTTGTTTAGTTATATATGAGGACACTTAATAGTCTCTTGCACCATCATACATTTTATTTCAATTGGTTATTATTAATATTTCTTAATTTTGTGCAGAGAGATGGAGTCTCTGAGGCATGTAAGAAGTGATTCATTTGTATTTTCTTGCTGTAAATTTTTGTCTATATGAGAAGTAGGTGAAGTACAGATATGTTTACAGTGAATTTAGAGTATTCATCATAATAGTATTTAGAATATTTTTCTCTTCAAATAAAAAATATTTGGGGGGAGGCGCCTGGATGACTCAGTTGGTTAAGCGCCTGACCCTTGATTTCAGCTCAGGTCATGATCTCACACTTCATGAGATCGAGCCCCACGTCAGGCTCTGATGGAGGATGGAGCCTGCTTTAGACTCTCTGACCTCCGTTCTCTCTTCCCCTCCCCTGAGCACTGTCTCTGTCTCTCTCTCTCTCAAAATAAATAAATAAACCATAAAAAAAAGGAAATATTTCTAGAGGTGCACTTGGGTGGCTCAGTTGGTTGAGTGTCTGACTTGATTTTGGTTCAGGTCATGATCTCATGGTTTGTGGGATCAAGCCCTGCATTGGACTTTGCCCTGACAGCTGGGAACCTGCTTAGGATTCTGTCTCTCCCTATCTCTCAGTCCCTCCCACCTCACAAAAACAAATAAATAAACATTTAAAAAACAAGTAATATTCTTAAACGAATGGTTTTGCCTACCTTTAGTACAAATGCGTGAATATATGTTCCTATAAATACATTCAAGGTGCAATGAAGAATATGATTAAATTCTATAATACACCTGAGGGAGAGGATGAGATAGAAAAGGTATAAGTGGAGAGACGTTAATAGAACACTGAAGGAGAAATTAGAAACATAAAAAAGCAAAGTGACTAATTCAGAGACTAAGACACCAAGAAAGATACAAAAGAAATGCACACGTGGGGTGAGATGGACACGTAAGCCAATACAGGCACCAATATATGAAGCACCTGCGAAGGTACACATAGAGACCACTGAAGGGCACAGAGATATAGCGGGCCTAAAGAAGGAGCAAAGAAAAACAGGGGCGCCTGGGTGGCTTAGTCGGTTAAGCGTCCGACTTTCGCTCAGGTCATGATCTCGCGGTTCGTGGGTTCGGGCCCCGCGTCGGGCTCTGTGCTGACTGCCAGCTCAGAGCCTGGAGCCTGTTTCAGTCTGTGACTCCCTCTCTCTCTGACCCTCCCCTGCTCGCGCTGTCTCTCTCTCTCTCCTAGAAATAAATAAAACATAAAAAAAATTAAAAAAAAAAAAAAAGAAAAACAAAGATGTAGGCCCACTCATCTGGTATCACTACTAGAAAATCAAAAGAAACCCAAAATGGTGAGTTGGCTTTGCTGAAGAGTTTTATTATGCACAACAATATTCCACATTAACAGAGATGCACAGTTTTCTACTGTGACATCTCATCCTTCAGCTTCTTAAAAATATTCCCATTTAAGACTTTATATTTTTATAATTTTTTACATTGTATTTTATATTTTTACAATTTTTATATTTTACATATTTTTATATTTTTACAATTATAAATATAAATGGATCTTATGAGTCTGATGAAATAAACTTAGGAATCAGATTCAACCTCTGCCTTTCCATTCTCTTTCTTATCACGCACACGCGCACACACACACACACACACACACACACACACACACCTTTCTCCTTTCATAAGTTATCTGAGGTACAATGATGCTAAAATATTGAGCATTGCTAGTGAAGCAACTTTTCCAACCTACTCTTACTAATTTAGTTTTTAAAAGAATTTTAAATTGGAGCATCTGGGTGGCTCAGTTGGTTAAGCGTCCGACTTCAGCTCAGGTCATGATCTCGCAGTCTGTGGATTCGAGCCCCGCATCGGGCTCTGCACTGACAGCTCAGGGCCTGGAGTCTGCTTCAAATTCTGTGTCTCCTTCTCTCTCTCTGC